CTGTATTAAGTAGATATTGAAATATTAACATTTTTTAATAGAGTAAAATAAATCCTTTTTAGCTGTTTAATTTTATTTTTATATTTATATTTTAATTGAAATAACGTTTTGATAGTAATACAATATATATTTTTAAAGATTTTGTTATGTTAACCTTGTACGATTTTTCAGATCACAAGGGCTGTAAATCTCAAATTTTATAAACTATGCATACTGAGTTTTTGACATTTTAGTATACATTATTTTATTTAAAAAAAAAAATTCTCTGACCAAAGAAATTCTCTGACGAAAGACGAACAGTTGAGTGGAGGCAGTTGAAGACAGCGGCAGCAACCACTAATGGAATTAAGTGTAAAATAAAACAAAGAGTAAATTTGTAAGTGAAATTGTAGTGAAAATAATTACTTAAGAAAACAGTAATGCATTCAACAAACTACATACATACATATATATATATACTTTTTTGGATTTAGTTAACAATATATTTTAATACAGGTTTTAATTGCATTAAGAAAAAAATTTTGTTAAAAACTGTGACAAGGTTTGGCAGTTTATGAAAAAAATGTAAGATTATATATCGGTTTATCGCTAAATTGATTATCAATGATACACTCACATGATATCCATATTGTCTCTACAAGGGAAAGAACGCCAGAATATAATGTATAAATGTATGCGTGTATACATATATATCTTCATTTCTCCAAATCGCTTAGTGAAGATTAATGATCACATCTTATTCACGGCATTCGCATTAACATATCAACTCAGTGTCATCTCAAGCCAATATAGAGCGGGAAGTTACCCGCACAACATGAATACAGATATACATAACTGCTATATATTTAAATATTACGTTGAACTGCGTATCCTGTTACGCCGCCAACCGCCATTATGTGTATAGAAAGACTCATCGCTAACTTTTCAGCCCAACTGACAAATGCTTGCGGAACGCACTTATGTTGTTTAGCAGCGCCAACAATCATCGCTCATTGCTAACGAAGTTTAGCGTCAACACCGGCAACGTTGTGAGGCAGTGCTTCTTAAGAAAATAAGTGCACAACACCATTTATCTGCCTTAATTTGGACGGCAAGTATGCACTGAAGAGAAGAGGTAGAGTGTCAAATAGCGTTTGACTGCAAAAAAAGGGGAGTCCTCGTGAACTCTTTTTGGGTTGTACGCGCGCATTAGCGCAAAATGTCAAATATGATAGCTTCACAGGGGCCAAACAGTTCAGAAAATAGCAAATCACAATATGTTAGTAGAGCCAGCAGACCAGTATAAGCGCATTAAATAACTAGATAAACAAGGCAGCTGAAAGCCAGTACTTAGCCGGTCAATTTAGACATTTGAAGTTACATAAATTCACAACAAGCTGAAAATTGGTTAGATCGTTTAAAATATAAATATAACTAAAATTTAAAAGTTCCCCATCTTTCCCCTGCATGGAAAAAATTCTATTCAGGGTCAAAAGTATGATTATCTATAAAAAAATGTATTAACCCTTTTTTTCTTACGAGCCACTGTTTCGGAAATATAACGATTAAAAAATTTAGAAAAGTTGTAATCGTTAAAATATGCATGAGTACGCCTCATATATACACCTCCAGAACCGTAATACAGTAGAACCTCGATAAGTTAAAGTCCAAGAGAAACACAAAATATTTTAAGTTATAGTGGTTTTAGGTTATCAAGGGTCTATGTTAGGGTTAGTTTTATATAGAAGTAGCCATGTACATATGTATGTATGTTCCCTTGTTCCTATTTTTACTTGAATGCGTCAGAAGGATTGGTTCAATAAAGTTAGTGTTGTTAGTTTTCTTTTTGAAGTAATTTTAAGCCAGTTTTATCACACAGTTGGTAAAGCGATGTTTCCAGGACAATGATAAAAAACGTATGATTATGAACCAAGTAAGTTGTTTCCTTAAAGCTAACCCCCGCAAGGCTTTAAAGAATTTCGAAGAACAATAGGTGACATACAAGTATGCACTGTTTACGTTAACAATTTAACTAGTGGACACGTGCAAGCAATAAATACCGAAACCTTTTTTTTGCACACTTCTTCAAAATGACTCATTGACAAACAATTTTATGTTATAGAGGTTGTGGAAACGCTTCTTTAAGTTACTGAGGGCCAGTAGATCTGAGACATTTTTATGATAGAACTTACCGTTTAGCAAAAAATTACAAAAAATCGATCAAAAAATCATATTTGTGACCTTTGACCTTGAATATAATTTTTTCCATACAGGGCAAAAATGGGGAATTTTCAAATTTTATTTATAATTATATTTTAAACAATCTCACCAATTTCCAGCTTGTTGTGAATTCATATAACTTCACTCTCATTTTTTGGTCGAACTTGACCGGACAAACTATCCTCGTGAAAAATACCACACTTAATTATTTCCTGAAGCTAAGAATGCAGAAGAGTTACGCTGTGCCTCTATTTTACTATATATATCTAGTAAACAAGTATAATCGTAATTAAGCGTTAAAGAGAAAGCTATAAAGGATTTAGATCTGAGTTTCGTGTCGGAATCTACATTAGTAAAGGAACCCAAACATCGAACTAGAAACTAATCAAGGCTAATTGCGAAGGTAAGGAAAAGAAAAACCTTAACGTTTTCATGTTACATAGCTATAGCAAGCAAAACATCACAGCGATAAGCAGGAAGGCGGAGGAAAGTACCATCGCAGCTGGTATGAGACAGCGAATCATTCAAGTGGTCGATTATATTTGAATGCCACTCTACCGCACACCATCTACTATAGAGCTGCACAGACATCAACGAAAGGGTTAACTATCCTCTTTATTTATTTACTATTAACTAAGCTTTTGTTGTGCAATTGAGGCAGTATGTCAACATTTATAACAAGCAACCGACAGGAAGCATTAAACATAACACTCATGTCCGAAAAACAGATAAATAAAATGACCCAATGGAGAGTTCTTGACGAACACTCCTTTTCAGATCACTGCTACATTGAATGTATAATTGAAGAAAATGCAGGCAGGGTAAAAAATTTCAGGAATCATAGGAAAAAGAACTGGCAAGTGCACCTGCCAGAGCTAAAGAGGGGTATTCCTATGATTCTCCCATTCCAACCAGAGAACAAAGAGAACTTAAACATCCCCGTTGATCAATTCACGGTATCTTGCCGTCAAGTTTGACCAATAACACATAGTAGGGAAAGAATTAGAACCATATGGTGGTCTCCCGAGCTCAAAAATTTACAGAAGGATTGTAGGAAGCAGTTTATTCTAGCTAAACTACAGCAGTCCCAGAACTAAATAATAGTCTGGTTAGTAACCAATCGTGAAGAGTGGCTGCAATTAAACTATATATTTTGTTACAGAGAAAACTCAAAGTGATATAAATATATATCAAAGGAGGGCAAAAGCTCACATACAAGTCCAAAGGATTTCAGACCAATTAGTCTTTCCTCATTTCTCTTAGAAACGTTGAAAAGACTAATAGAAATACACATAAAAAACAAACCGGCTGTTTCGCGGCATGCGTATTCTGAAGAAAAATCCACAGAAACAGCACGAAGCTCAGAGGTAACAGAGATTGAAAAAGATTTGGATATCTCCGAACCTCTCAGAAAATAGTTGAACAGATTCTCATGAGCAGGTCAATTTCAATGCTCGGAGCTTCAACGATGTGATGTGCAGATCTGATCCAAAGAGGCACACCCCAAGTAGGCGTGTTATCTCCACTTTTTTGGATTTTAACAATATAATAATTGTTGTTCTATTTAGAAAAGAAGCGAGTTGGAGCTGGCTAGGCTAATAGGAGATAAGGCAAGCTCCTTGGGACTAATTTTGGACAGGAAACCAAACTTAGACGCTAGGTTGAAAAAGCAGCTATAGCACTTTACGACTGCAAAAGTATGGTAGGGCCCAAATAGGGATTAACGCCTCGGGTAGTTAAAAGAAATAGGGAGAGTTAGGTATTCAGTGAACACGTCTAATAAAAACCAAGGTTACACTTATGTTAAATTAGGTCAAGAGGTTGATCCCAGAAGGGCTTACACTTGGAATGCTAAGAACGTGTGTCCGTTTTGGTAACATACATAACACTCCTATAAAATAGAACATAAGGGACCCCCAAATCGCTTTGAGCCTATCACAAATTTGTTGAGACGACTAATGTCAATTTCAGTTATGTCTCATAGTTCGCCAAAGTTAAGACAAGAAAAGATTTTGCAATCTCAGTTTTGAAAAGGCTGGTCAATATAGGAGGAAGTGCTTCGATGTTACACTCAGTTAGTATAGCTTAGTTGCAAAGTTTCTGTTCTTACCAAGAAATAGCACCACTACTACCTCACCTTCAAACCGCACTGTTGAATTTTGGGCTGGTGAAATTAAACGTGGTCATATTTCCACACATATTTAAATTGAAACAAGAACGTTTACAGCTGGTTGCTCAGCTCCAATGCAGGTGAAGTACCTTTTCAGAAACGTGAAACAATTCTTTCTTGTAAAGCGTTTTACGTCGAATAAAGAATCTTTTACAGCCAAACAAACTCAATACAGGTATGGCATAAAATTATTGGAGAGTCATTGGAATAAGCGGATTGAAGTTTAGGGCGATTATATTGAATAAAAAAACATGTTTCGTACCAAAAACAGTATTTTTTTCATTTCGAGAGCAGAAACTTTTCAACGAATCTGTATAGTGTTAACTGTTTGTGACAGCGGTAGATGTTTAAGAAACAACAAGCTTTTTTGTTTTTGGAATGGTTACTGAAGATAAATTAGCAAATATACATATATATATATATATATATATATCAATATATGGTGTTATATATACAATTGTATATATACTTTTAAAAACGTATCATATATGCACTAAACATGCCTTGTCGGTATTACAAAGTCATTACCCAATCTGATAACAAACAAAACTCCATGGTTTTATTAAAAAGCGATCAAGTGATTACACACGTAAACTAAAAAATTAAAATATTTTTAGTTTAATTTGATACTTTTTATAATGTTATGACCATCACCCTGCTTTATCCTCTGCTATAAATTGTTTTACATATAATTTAAATTTTTGCAATTCCTACACAGATGACAGATAAATGTAAAAGCTGTAATATAAATTGATGTAACGCAATTACATGTGAGACACGATTTCAAACGTAATTTTCATGTTTTCTGTAATATCTGCGATTCGGTCACTACCATAGAACCTATAAATACTATGTGAGCAATGATCGTATGCATAATTTCATCACAACGAGAACAAAATTCTACCCAGCATGAAGTTCTGCCAGAGCGCAATTTTGATTATAATTTGTGTGTTGAACGGTTTTGTGAAGGTATAAAAATAGTAATAAATGTTTCCAAATTCACTTTTCTTACATACTTCAAATTATTTCAGGCCGAACAACCATACACCGTTAAGAATGAGCGGTTAGAATATTTCAAGGGTTTAAAAGAGACATTCGTTGATATGAGCGATTTGAAAGTTGTCGGACGTCAGCGTTTCATCAATGGCAGTGTGACTTTTGGCGAAGACATGTTTAGTGAGCATTATAAGTTCCAAGTAGAAATTTTCTCCTCACCACAAAGTGATGGTCAATATAAGCAATTGCCAATGGGCGTGCCACGTACGCCTGTTTGTGAGGGCATCAAAGATTTATATACGAAATTGTTGCAACCGTCATTAGTTGAGGGTGAAAATACCAACTTTCCATTTGTACCCGAAGAGGGTTTGTGTCCTTTACCGAAGGGTGATTATTATGTAAAAAATTTGGATATGAACACAGACTCTTGGCCAAACCAAATACCACGTGGGCTGTTGAAAGCGAAATTAACATTTTTCAAAGACGAAATAAATGTTGGAGGCATTTTTGTGATAATAAGAGTCGAAGATCGGGAGTGAGAAATGAGCAAATTAAAAAATATCTCTCTCTCTCTCTGTCTCTACATAAGAAGTAATGTCTAATTTTAAGCAGGTATTTTGTTGTGGTTTTTAAAGTTATTATAATTCATAATAAAATTTTTTCGAACAAGTTAACAATAATTTTTGTTATAATAAATAAATTTTGTTACATCTCATTAGTTAATAGAGAATATATATAGGTGCTTGGCAGCCTTTTTATTGTTCGTTTTCGTCGTAGTTTGTAGACAGAAATGTTTATAATACCGCCGAACAGAGTAAAATACAAGTATTAGCTGATATCGAAGTCTTCAACTATTTTTATTTTCTGGATCTTGTTTTCAACAACTTTTAATAGCACATTTGAAAATATCGATAGATATATAAAAATTATTTAGAAATACATATTCATGCAATAAGACTTTTGATTTATTCAGATCAACTCATACCTGAAGAAATTATTAAGGTACTTGATTGTGAAATATCAGTTTTTCCACCCTAACTGCGGAGTTCTTCCTACAAGCACGGTGGAATCTGAGTACTAATTTCAAAATATCATATTTATTTTGAATTTGTTGTTTTCATTACTTTTTTATGAATAAACCTGTCTCAACATATTGTAGTGTTAATGTGCACTCCATCGACCGTTTATTGGACTCTGTACCAATACCTCAATACAATCTCGTAAGATCTACCTACTTCGACATTATTTGTGAACCTTAGCTCATAGAAGTATATTTATTTCATTGGTCTTCGATGCCAGGTGCAAACTTAATCACAATACGCATTGTGGAACCCAAAGTCTGGGTCGATATAACTCTAAAATTTTTAGGGGCAATATTAAACCTCACATAACTTGACAATCTCATCTAGACGATTGAGCCTTAGCAGATTAATTTTTGGCGCAGAGTGTCGTAGTTTACTAGTTGCGTAAAAGTAACTTGTAATAAACAGCCTTCAGTGTACTTCCTCAGTACACTCTATAAAGTTTTCAATATTGAAAAGAAAGGTTCCTAAGACAGAAAAAAACAAACAAATTTGAAAAAATCTGTCGATGAGTCTTTATATTTCCGCCTTCGGACGAGGGAACACTTCGAGCCGTAGTAACGCACTCTACAACTTGCTTCAGTGTAATTAATTTAGATTTATATCTCTTAATTAAAACAGTATATAAATTTAGCATGTTCCACCTTGTTTAGATATTATCTGAGATTTTTACAACATTTCGAAAATCCTATAAATGAGACGCAACCAATGATAAACTTGAACAATAGTTCTGAAATCACAGATAGGTGTCTCCGCACGACTAAAACGCATACGTTGCAGAATGAAATATTACTTGGGCATCATTATATCGGTATTTTGTGTGTGCAAGAGATTTGCGGAGGTAAATGATAAGTGATTGTATATGGATTATAAAAACCCACTCATAAAATCTCCAACACTATTTCAGGCTGAACAAACTTACATGGTAACAAATGATCGTTTCGAGCATTACGACGGTCTGCAGAAAACTTTATTTTATGCGGATAACATGAAAGTTACCGGTCGTCAACGTAGCATAAATGGCACAATGAAATTTTTGGAAGATATGGGGAACGAACAATTTATGATTAGTGTAGAAATGTTCTCCGCTCAACATGGTGATGATAAGTTGAGGCCTTTACCCATGGGAGTGCCGCGTATTCGTATTTGCGATGGTCTCAAAACCTATTTTGTTCAAATAGTGCAACCGTCTTTAGTACAAGGTGAGAATACAGATTTTCCTAATATACCTGAAGAGGGTTTGTGTCCCCTGCCGAAAGGGGAATATTACTTTAAGAATTTGATATTAAACTCCGACACGTGGCCTACTCAAGTACCACGTGGCATTTTAAAAACGAAAATGACTTTTTTCAAAGACAGAATTAATGTAGGAGCATGGTCACTGCAGATGAAAGTGGAAGATCGTAAGTGAAGCCATTTTGCTTTAAAGAAAAATGTAAAAACTAGAGAATTTGATTGATTTACCATTTACTTTTTAAAAAACCTTGTAATAAAAAAATTAGAGAAAAGAAATATTTAAAATGGAAAATATAGCTCTATACTTTTTAGGGGCAATAATTAGCCTGATAATATCATCCAAGCGATTGAGCCTCAGTAGATTAATTTTTGGTCATTGAGGCTCGCGCAAAGTCTCGTAGTTTACGAGTTGCGTAAAAGTAACTTGTAATTTACAGTCGTTTCGAAATACGGCACTCTCTGTAGATTTGATAAAAGAGTTCCTAAGTCAGAATAAACAAAAAATTTTTTAAAAATCTGTCGATAATCTTTATATATGCGGCTTCGAACGCAGAGCACTTCGAGCTGTGGTAGCGCACTCAACATGTTGCTTCAGTGTTATGAATTCAGATTTATATCTCTTAATTAAAACAGTATATAAATTAAGCATGTTTCACCTTGTTCAGATATTATCTGAGATTTTTACAACATTTCGAAAATCCTATAAATGACACGCAGCCAACGACAAACTTCAACAATAGTTCTAAATTCACAGATACATAGGCATCCTCACGACTAAATCGCATACGTTGCAGAATGAAATATTACTTGGGCATCATTTTAACGGTATTTAGTGTGTGCATGAAATTTGCGGAGGTAAATGAAAAGTGATGTTATGTGGATAATACAAACCAATTATCATAAAATCTCCAAAACTATTTAAGGCTGACCAAACTTACACGGTGACAAGTGAGCGTTTCGAGCATTATGATGGCCTGCAGGAAACACTATTTTATGCGGGTAACGCTAAAATTATCGGTCGTCAACGTAGCTTAAATGGAACTTTGAAGTTTTTGGAAGATATGGACAACGAACAATTTATGATTAGTGTAGAAATTTTCTCAGCTCAACAAGGTGATGAAAATTTGAAGCTTTTACCTTTAGGCGTGCCGCGTATTCCCATTTGCGATGGTTTCAAAACCTATTTCGCTCGTGTGATACAACCGTCATTTATACATGGTGAGAACACAGATTTCCCTTACATACCTGAAGACGGTTTGTGTCCCGTGCCGAAAGGTGAATATTACTTTAAAAATATATCATTAAACACCGACACGTGGCCAACTCATGTACCACTTGGCACTATAAAAGCGAAAATGAATTTTTTCAAAGATGGTATTAATGTTGGCGGAGGGTCACTGCAGATGAAAGTGGAAGAGCGAAAGTGAAGCTATTTAGTTTTGAAAAAAAATGTAGGAAAGAAAGAACTTGATGATATCCAAAATATTATTGAAAAAACTGGTAATAAACAATACGTGTAAAGCAATATCTAAGTATTTTTTTCTTTTCATATATGTATAGTTATTACCAGATTTTGAAATATGATTGAGAATTCATACACATAACCGATGGAAAATATAAATCTATACAATAATTAGCCTGATAATATCATCCAAGCGATTGAGCCTCAGCATATTAATTTTTGGTCATTGAGGCTCGCGCAAAGTCTCGTAGCTTACAAATTGAAATTGAAAAGTAACTTGTAATGTACAGCCGTTTCGAAATACGGCACTCCCTGAATATTTGAAAGAAGAGTTCCTAAGTCAAAGTAAAGAAAAAAAAATTGAAAAATCTGTTAATAATCTTAATATTTCCGGCTTCGAACGCAGAACACTTCAAACCGTGGTAGCGCACTCCGCATCTTGCTTCACTGTTATGAATTTAGAATTATACAAGTATCCTTTAATTAAAACGGTATATAAATTAAGCATGTTTCACCTGGTAAATGAAAAGTGATTTTAGATGGATGACTTGCAGAAAACTCTACTGTATGCGAATAACGCTAAAATTATCGGTCGGCGTATTCCCATTTGCGATGGTTTGAGAACCTATTTCGCTCGTGTGATACAACCGTCATTCATTTTCCAAATATACCTGAAGAGGGTTTGTGTCCCCTACCGAAAGGTGAATATTACTACTGGCCAACTCATGGATCACTTGACACTATAAAAGCGAAAACGAATATTTTCAAGGATGGTATTAATGTTGGGAGTGGGTCACTGATGATGAAAGTGGAAGATCGTAAGTAAAGCTATTTGGTTGGGAAGAATAATGTAAAAAAGAAAGAACTTGAATGATTTACGTTTGATTTTTGAAAGAACTGGTAATCAAACAATGCGAGCAAAGCAATGTTTAAATAAATCATATTTCAGCGTGTTCGGTAAAATGATTCGTTGAGCAGGAAAATTTTCCAATTTCCCGAGGTTTATAAAAAAAGTAATTAAAATTAAAATTATAATTAAGTCTGGCTTCAGAAATGGTCGAAGAGCAAACCTAAATAGTTTAAAATAATTTTTTTTTCATATCTGATGTTTGTACTTCAGGGTGTGAATCTTATACTTGTGCTCACATCGATAATTTTTTAGTTATTGTATCAGCAGATCTATATCAGACTTACAATCTACTCCAATATTGGGTGAGAATAAACGGATTGTAGCTTTAACTTGGACATAGCACTTGTAGAACCCTGAACGAAACTTAAATTCTCATTACCACGAGAGCATTGCTGTTTCCAGCAACACTGAATACATGGATTTCAGTAGTAAGCGGGGGAGCTACCGAAACATTAGCAAATTGGCTAACTTCGGAAACGTAGTACTGCAAATTATCGATACAGTATGACTACAGTATTTATACATCGTTTTTGTGCGACAACAGGCATCATTGTAAAATGATGTGTTGATAATATGACGTACAGAATGCATTACAGAATATTATAATTTGTTCATATACATTGCCCTCAAGGTGATAAGCCGTCAACTTCCAAAGAGCTCAATTCTCCAAAAGCTCTATCTAATAGTAATAATTGTCACACAATTCCATAGGCTCCCCCTATTAACTTAGTAGCATCAGTTAATAATTTGATAGTTATTCCACCTAAAAAGTCTATATTTATTTCGAGACTTTCCAAAGATACCTTGGTGGAGGACATTAAATCTTACATTTCATCACGTTTAAAAATCGATGATATCAATATACGTAAATTTAACTTCAATTATGATAGAAGTATATCATCCTTTAAAATAGACGTATCTCTTGAAACATTCAAAAAGATCTTAGATAGTTCATTCTGGCCACCTGGGGCTTTTGTACGCGAATTTAAACCTAAACTTAGAAGTCAAACTGAGGAAAACATTGTTAAATTACCAAAAGCAACCACCGATATAAAAAACTGATTGGTAGAAATTCGCTAAGCATTTATTATCAAAATGTTAGAGGTCTTAATACAAAATTAACTGACTTGTATTTGAACAGTTCCAATTTTAATTTCCATATAATTGGATTTACAGAAACTTGGTTACAACCTCACATTTTTGATAATGAGATTTTAAACAGCGAATTTCAAATTTTTAGATGTGATCGACTGAACAGAATCGGTGGAGGTGTTCTATTTGCCGTGCATTCCTCTATCCCATCTGAAAATATTCTTGTTCCAGGGACCGACTCATTTGAATTTAAATGTATTAGAGTATACGTTAATAGTTACTTTATTTATTTAACCCTATCTTATATACCACCCCATTCGGACTTATCTGTATACATGCATCATGCTTCTTTAATAAATAGTGCTACCTCGATGGCAAATAATGCAGATTCAATAATTGTATTAGGTGATTTCAATTTACCGTGTGCTTCGTGGAAACCTTTCGATGACTATATCGTGCCGATTTGCAATCGGTCATGTTTTAATGAGTTTTTCGAAAAAATGTCCGAGTTGGGTCTGAACCAAATTAATTTATTTGGAATCAAATTTTATTTGATTCCAAATAAATTTGGTAAATGCTTAGATTTAGTATACGTTGATACCTCTGCAAAGTGTTCCGTTATTCAGAGTAATCCTCTTGTTCTCCCAGAGGACTCATATCATCCTGCTTTGGAAATATCTGTCGAAACCTCAGGCATTGTACGGGATAATAATCATCAAACTTCGTGCTTCTGTACTCGGTTTAACTTTGCAAAAGCTAATTTTAAAAGGTTAAATACAGCACTTTCTACAATAACATGGCCTAATTATAATGGTGACATTGAATTGAGTGTCTCTCATTTTAATAACATTATTATGAAATTATTTGAAAAGTATGTTCCAATAGTAATTGTTAATAAAAGCAAAACTATAAGTCCGTGGTTTTCGAAAGAGTTATATAAATTGAAAAACAGAAAAACTCGAGCCTTTAAACATTTTAAAAAAACCGGTTCACTTGTCGACTATTCTAAATATTCTCTATTGCGTCGGCAATATTTTGACCTAAACAAAAAATGTTATAATAATTACTTAAATAAAGTAAAAAGAAATATTGTAAGTAATCCAAAATCGTTTTATGATTTCGTCAACTCCAAACGCAGGATTTCCAAATTTCCGTCCGCAATGAAATACAAATCTATCATTTCAAGTGACAACGATATTATGTCCACTATGTTTGCAGAATTTTTCAAGTCAAACTACTGTAATAATTCTTCCAGTACGTGCTGTGTTCGAATACTTTAATTAACGCTCTAATTATTTCTGAAGAAGACGCCCTACTTACTTTAAATAAGTTAAAACCGTCTCTTAGTTATGGCCCAGACATGAAACTCTCATGCTTCCTAAAAAATAGTGCCAAATATATTTACTTGCCTTTGACAAGGATTTTAAATTCCTCTCTTAAACACGGTATATTTTCTTTAATATGGAAACAGTCATTTATAATCCCTTTGCAGAAAAGTGGATTTAGATCCAACATTGAAAACTATAGAGGTATCGCAAAACTATCAGTTATACCTAAACTTTTTGAAGCTATCATCACTGACCATATAACCTTTTCGATTTCTCCGTTAATTTCCTCATCTCAGCATGGATTTCGTAAAGGGAATTCGACTATAACAAACTTACTTGAATTTGTAAGCCATGTATCATTGGGTTTTAGGGAACATAACCATACGGATGTTATATACACAGACTTTAGCAAAGCTTTCGATAAAGTAAATATCTCGATTCTCATACATAAACTTGATCTGCTGGGCTTTCAGCCAAGATTCCTTTAATGGCTGGCTTCCTATCTTTATAATAGAACACAACGAGTGATATTTGAGGATACACCTTCTGTTCTTGTTGTTTATTAACGATATCTCTTCAGTAATAGAATTCTCAAAAATTTTATTATACGCTGACGACGTAAAGCTTTGTAATAAAGTGTATGATTTACACTTCAACTGAGGAAAGGTGTCTGTTGCAAACAGATTTAAACAATTTGGTTGCATGGTGTGATAGAAATGATTTGCCATTGAATCTGAATAAATGTAAGATGATGTGCTTTTCCCGTAGATCTGTGCACCACTCTTCTTATGTAATAAAACACCATATTCTGGAGCAAGTTTTTAACTATGTTGATTTGGGAGTTAATATGGACCCTAAGCTTAATTTCAGTCTTCATATTGATACCATGGTCTTGAAAGCAAAAGCTGTTCTCAGTTTTGTTAAACGTTGGTCTAAAGAATTTAAAGATCCGTATATTACTAAAACACTTTATACAACTTTGGTTAGACCTATATTGGAATATGGCTCTGTGGTATGGAACCCTAGCTACCAAATCCATTCTGACAAGTTAGAGTCGGTTCAAAAACAATTTTTACTTTTCGCCTTAGCGCATTTCCGATGGGATGCTAGGGTAAGTCTACCTCCATACACTAGTCGTTGAAAACTTATTAATCTACCTACACTTTCTAGTCGTAGGGAAAGGCTTGGCATAATATTTTTAGTGAAACTTTTGAATGGAACTGTTTGCAGTTCTTTTCTCCTGTCTGAAATTAAATTTAATATCCCGGTTCGCCTTTCGAGGCAGTTTAGACCTTTACTGTTAAAATCCTGTAGATCTAATTTTGAACTAAACGAGCCATTCCGCCGTATATGTCATGATTTTAATTCTCATTCCAGCACATTTGACTTATCTGACTCACTTTTCAAAATTAAAAAGACTTTATTGTTTTCTCTTAATAAATGAAAATGTAACAATTTATTATATTGTAACTTTAGATCTTAGCTGTTGAAATTTTTGTTTCTGTAGCTGAGCAGTTTTAGATCTCAACACTTAAAAAACTCTCTTGCCTTTTCTGACTCGGCTAATTCCGCACGTATGCGGATTGCGCCCCTCGCGTCGGTTGGAAGGGAGGAGGGTAATCGTTGGGTTATTATTATTATTATTGCAATTGGCGTTTTCGAAGTCAGCCATTGTTTCAACTTATTAGTATGGTCGTTAATTGACTGAGCTTGATACCTGACGTGTTTTATCATC